GAGTCCCGAGGGCCCCAACCCGGGAGTCTGCATCTCCCTACCTGACTCAGTTTAACTGTCAAGGATTTCATGGATTGATGCCACGTTTTTGTTTGGCCACCACTGGCTCTTTTCCAACCTGAACCTATATCAGCTAACAATGCCCGTCGGGGGAGGCGGTGGTTAGGCATGCGCAGCACGTGTCCATACAGACCGCTTCGTCTATAATGCCATCTTCATACATTTTGGTCGGTGTCAAAAGATTATATTGAATCATCATACGTGATTCAAGAAAGCCATCTGCCATTAGTTAAACAAACTATCTGAAAGCTTATACAGTCTAAATATCAGATATTTAGGCTTGAGTATGACTGAGAAAGGGTTTAAGCAACTATATTATTGTAAATGTATCCTGGAATGTCCTTTGATATACTCGTTTGAGTAACATGGAGTATGTGTGGTATGGTTATTTTACCAAAACTGTCTCCTTAATTGAACGTTATGGACACTTTTTGAATACTTTCCGGGATTTTATCTTCAGTTTTGCACATGTGTTGGGTTAACTAGTTCAGCATGTCGTATTTGGTTGATGCTTCATTACCTTAAAAGTCATATAAAATGTTGTCTCATTAAAAACTAGTGTTGAATATGTAGATATACAATCTTGCATGTTGAAATTCATGATGTTCCACATAAAGGACTTGAATTGTGTAGGACTGTATAAGTTGGAATCGCTACATTATTCCTAGAGGATAATCGAAGGTCAAGAATTGAATGAAACCTGTTCAAATCAGTAGACGTTCCTTATTAGTTTCTTTATTGAATATATCACACAGCAAAGCATTTTCTGCGAATGATACCGTAACAATAATACTGTTTTGCTGTGTCATAAATCCAATTAACAAATTAATATGGGATTATATGCTACCATACTACCAAAGTTTGACACATAATGACCAGGAAAAGATCGTTGTTAAAATGGTAGTAATTAGGTTTTCTCGATTCACATTAAGATAAAAGTTTAGACAAACGCGTGATATTTGATATAGCTACTCAAACATTTCACAAATTTTGTCACACCCATCCCTTTTTTACAAGGACCTAAGTAGCAGTTAATGTATAGGTTATTCAGTATGGCATTTTAATCTAAATACCCTGGATTTTAAAACAACTAGTCCCTTTAATGAATTTAGATATTGTTATTAAAAGACGGAGATTATCTGAAAATGTAATATATTTGCTCAATACATTTCGAACAATCTGATCGCACGTTTACTTGTAAATTCAATTTATATGGAAAATAAAGGTCTATTAAAATACAGGAAGTGTCATAAAGGATATGAGAATAATAAGAATAATTAACTCTACGTTTGGTTATCTAATTAGATAAGGATTACTAAGGCAGGTTAAGAGTACTAAGAAATTGTTTATGTAAACACAGGGAGGGCTTAAGTTTACGAATAGCTATCACCTCAATGTATTTCAATAAACGCCCCTGATCGCTTTTGAAGTAACTCTAAAAGCTGTTTTTATATCAGTCTTCTGGTTCATATCGATTAGATGTTTAGCTATTGATGAAGTTGGTAGTCTACCACCTTCGTCTATCGATTTTCCAAAGTTCATCTGTTGAACTTTCAGTTCATGAGGAGGCACTATCACTTGGTTCCAATTTTTCTATCTCATTAAACAGTATTTCAGACATAGCAATTGATTCCCAGTTTGGAAATCTGTATGACTAATAGACTCCTCTAGTTCCTACCCTAACAGATGACCAAAGTTAGTTGAAAGCTGAATTTTTAGATGCAGCACATCAATTTCGTAATTCAAATAGGAAACAAAAAAAGCATTTTGAACTCAATCCATTTCAAATCCCTAGGGGAATTACGTAACAGATCTGATATAGTTATCCTAAAACCTGAAAAAAAAATATAAGGTGCTTTTCCAATAGATATCTGTGATTATAAGACGAAAATGTTATCCATTCTTAATGATAAAAGTGAATTCATAGTGGATGTTCCTTGTGATGATATCAAAAAATTGGAAGGAAATGTAACATCCCATTTAGTTAAACATCGTGGCATTGATGTTATTGATGAACAAAATTTTAATTTATTGAAACTCATAGGATCTGACTTACCAAACTTTCATGGATTACTCAGGATTCATAAGGTTGACATTCCATTACATCGAATTCTATCAATGTGTCACTCTCCTACACATAAATTGGCAAAATGGTTAGCTGACATTTTAAGCCCAGTATGCAATGAATTATTTAATTCATCTTTGAAAGATACATTTGAACTTATTGATTGTTTTGTCAACATGAATATAAAAGATATGAAAATGTATTCTTTTGATGGTAATTCTTTGTTTACTAATGTACCATTGATTAAGACTGTTGATATTCTTTGTGACTATATGTCTTCTGATTGTTTTTCACTCCCTTTTCCTTTAACTTGTTTGAAAGGTATATTACTATGATTTACTGACAACGTCCATTTCACATTTGGAGGTGGGCACTTTTGACAGATAGATGGCGTTGTTATGGGTAGTCCATTGAGGCCTTTGTTTATATGTCTTATATTGAAAACTCGTCATACAGATTTCCAAACTGGGAATCAATTGCTATGTCTGAAATACTGTTTAATGAGATAGAAAAATTGGAACCAAATGATAGTGCCTCCTCATGAACTGAAAGTTCAACAGATGAACTTTGGAAAATCGATAGACGAAGGTGTTAGATTACCAGCTTCATCTAGCACCACGCGGTAGGAGCGAGAGTAACTTGAAATTTCGTATGTGAAGATTCCTTATTGATCTAACGTGGTTATAATAGATGCTGTATGAAGATGTAGCTCATTAACTGAATTATTTAACTCTTGGTCAATGGGTCCGAAGTTAGAATGCTACTGCATATCTTTTAGCCTGTGAAACTGGATAGTCTTCACAATACAGGTGTGACACACAGCTTGATACATGAAAAATAGGTTTCGAATAACTCAATCCTAACTAATTCTATGCTGAGTTTTATTAATATATATCAGGCGATTGACAGAGTATTCATTAAAACCGTTCTATATTAACCGTATAGCATTGTAGATTAGAGATGTTTAACAGTAATGATTTGACATTTAGATTGGATAATTCTTATACTCAGGCTCACTGACTGTGTTAATCTCCGACCTTTCCACTACTGTGTTGATCATAATTAAAAAAGAAAATTTGTTAAATGCTTATCCGAAATCATTTAAACGTTATTGAGTTATAAAATTGGAGTAAACAATAAAGTGCAAAATATATTATGTACACCCTTCATCTGTCCTTAAGTTTGTATGGACTGAAATTCAAGCATATTTAATTTCATATAAAGATTTGAATACATAACCCGTAAAGGAGAATGGTGCTCAGGAAGGCTTCTTGTGCTTTGGAAGTGTGTGGGTGGTTTTTACTTCCCAGTTGTCCACACTGTGGAAGTTGATTGATTCTTCGGGTACCTGAAACAGAAATAGGGTTAGTGTTGCGTAACCGCAGAGTTCGATCGCACATGGCCTGTATGAACTGATTTCTGAGATTGGTTCCATATTAGTAAACTTACCTCCGGTTACGGACCACCGTATTGTAAGTCGTGTGCCTAGCCATTGCCTTCCTCAACGGGCAATGTTAGCTGACTGACATAGGATCAGGTTGGAAAAGAGTCAGTGGTGGTCAAACTAAAACGTGGCTTCATCAGTCAATGAAATCCACAACAGTTAGTCTAAGACATGCAAGAAGATGTAGACTTCTTGGTTGGGTTCCTCGAGATGGTAAAACCAATGACTGGAGACAATTGGTGATGTGGCTCAAAATCGTTCTCAATGTCTGGTGCAGATGTGTTCACTCCTTGTGATTTATAATATCCAATAAAATTATATTGTTTTTCCATATTACTATTCTTTTTGCCTCATATGTCTGTTTATCATCTTTCTTTACTCTCTTCTCTTGCTACATATGCTACATGGAGGTAGAGTGGCAACTGGAACTGCTGCATATCTGTGCAAAATTCTACGTTGAAACCAGTCAGTCAGCCTTTTTTTTTATGGTGACAGATGACTATAGGGAACTTGTTTGTTGGTCAAACAATAAAGAGTGAAAATTGTTTGTTTTTACTTGTTACTAATCATAATTTCAGTCACCACTAAGCTCTAGTTTAACCACACCAATCCTGTAGCTTGGTGATATATCATAAATCATTAAAGTAGTACTCTAACAATCTTTCTCGTTGAATCATTAGGACTCTACATTTATAAATTTGAATGCAACACCTATTCAGTATTTCTTGGTTTTCAGGGATCCTAAAATTGATGTTATTCCTTGAATTCGCAAATATCTCATCATCCGAAAGCTCACCAAGTAGTTAACTTTCGGTTTTTTCATTGGCGTCCTCAAGATATCCGCCAGCAGTTAATGACTCTTGAGAAATTAGGGTATAAACCCAACTGTTAAGTCTTCAACTGTTGATTTATGCCACAGCGAGGTATATACTACCTGACTAGAGTCCTCGACATGCTTAGAATCAATAGTCAGAAATTGTTGGTGACATGTCTCAAAATCGCTCACAATGTTTGTTATCGTCAGGATCCTCAAAATCCCCACTAGTTTTCTTCTAGTTCCCCATCCGAATATTTTACTATATTCTCATGGCATATTTTTCTTCTGATTTTATATGTCATTTTCTGAAGTGGTAATTGAAACTACTGCAGTTTCAAGCACAGTTCTAAGTTGATAAGTTAGTGTGTCAGTCAACTACATTGGCACATGTGTATATTCGCTCTTTATCATAAGAATTTCAACTATAAAACAATTGCCCCTTCAGCATTCGAAGTTAAATTTTCGTTACAATACGATTTTATTTCTGCTCACTGCCTTTATGTGTGTTGTTTTGAGGTGTAATAATCTGAATTTATTCCCTTCTTATCTGAAATTCTTGATTATTATGTCATTTTACATAAAAATGTCCCTAACTTCTTTTTTTCAAATTCTAGGTTTTCGAATAAACACTCATGTGGTGTATTTCTTGACTAAATACCGGATTATAAATCAATCTAGTCGTGTCATTATTATTATTATCATTGTTATTTCTGTTAGCAATTGAAAATTCTCCCACACTTTAAAATACACCGACATGTTTAGTCGTGTTCCGTTAACTGATGATTTTAATCATTTGGCATTATGTGCTAGAGCAAGTTTATCTCATCAAGCTGAAAAGAAAATTCATTCAATATTAAACTGTGGACAGTTATCGTTTAGAAGTAATTTATGCAATTCTAAAGATGAAATTGTGCATATTCAACAAATCGTTACAGCTAATAATCATATTAATAATAACAATGCATTAACTATTTTACCCACTAACAATAATATTGATAACATTACTAATACTAATACTACTACCAGTAATAATATTAGTAATAACAATAATATCCAATCAAATCAATGTGTAACTGCAAATCATCATTCATCTAATTGTAGTGAACGCGTTAAACGTCATCACTGTACAGACTGTTCGAAATCATTTTATCGTGCCAGTGACCTAGTGAAGCATCGTCGTACGCATACAGGTGAAAAACCATTCGCATGTTTACAATGCGGTCGTGCATTCGCAGATTCGAGTAGTCTCTCCGCCCATAAACGAATACATACTGGTGAACGGCCATATCATTGTTGTGAATGTGGTAAAAATTTCTCCGTATCAAGTAGTTTAGTAAAGCACAGACGTATACATACTGGAGAACGACCATATAGATGTGAATTCTGCGGTAGAGCATTTTCAGATAATAGTAGTTATAGTGCACATAAAAAACGTAGTCAACGTTGTACACCTATTGTGATGAATACGCCCAATATTCTTGGTAATAATATTAATAGCAATGTCGGAGACTGCGAGAAAAACAAATGTGAAGGTTGTGCTTTTCTTGATGCACACACACAAGCAGTTATACATCCTGCGGGAGCTGCTGCAAAAGCTGCGGCCGCAGCCGCTGCTAACGCTGCTGCCTCTGTATCTGTTGAACACTTTTTAAATAATCCAAATACTGTTGTTATGTCTAAAATAGACGGAAGTAATGGTTTCTGTCCGAATTCATTGAATTTAGCATTTCCTAGTCCACAAAGTACGAATAATATTCAAGCTACTGCTTTAACATAAATATTAACGTAAAGAAAAAAGATATTATCACTATTCTACAAAACTGTACGTATAAATTTATAATATCTATGTGTAGAAGTGGTTTTCTTCATTATTTTCAACGTGTTGCGGAGGTGGGAGAGCTTACTGTCTATTTTATACTTAGAAATATTGAAGTCATTTAAAACTTTAAAACAGGCTTGAATTTGCTGTGACAAATGTTGCTGTTGTTTTCGAACTTCAAATTATAATTGTCTCTTTAGCTGACGTTTTGTTGTTCACTTTACTGCACAACTTGTTGTAAGTATTCATTTTGATAAGTAATTAAATAACTAATATGTCCACTTGATAATTTGGATAAAGCAGCAGAATTTAGAAAATATTTATAAATATCATATTGTATCTTTTTCTATCTGTACGTTTGTTTTCCCCTTGTTGTGTATCATTATTATTATTAATCACACCATATGATGACTGTAACATCGTCTGTTTTTTGTGTGTTTGATTCTCACCTTTTTCACTTTCTTCTGACTTTCATGTCATGCAAAATAAGTTTTCTTTGTTTGTTACATAATACTAATTTATGTGTATTTATTTATCGTGTATTGATAATATCCGCATTATTTATTGGCTACCCTTTCCTATCTCTTTCATGTATTTAATGCTTATTATTGTATATTTTCAAATATTACTGAAATAACGCGTTGAGGAAGACAAAGAAGTTGACTGACTTTTTGTCCATTCCCCAGTCATAGTTGTTTGTTTGAAATTTCCTAATACGTTATTCAAGTGGATTTTATTATTATTGTTAGTAGTAGTAGTTCGTTTACACAATTTTATAAATTATTTTCAAGGTTTAAAGGCTAATTTATTAGTCTTTGAATGTGTATACATTAGTTATGCTTTGTTTTATATGCTGAACCTTTCAAACTCTTCATATATATATATATATATATATATATATATATATATATATATATATATATATATATGACGAGTTGCACATGTATTGCATTTTGAATAAAAGCTGAATTCATTACCTATTAATTTATCTGATTGTTTTCTTTTAAGGATATCGCTGAATAGTGTTCAGTCAAATTTATCATTATTACTATTATGAAAACACAAACTTAATACATTTTTGGCACCAAAAGATGATCCATACAAAACCTCATAATATGTGCGAAGGATGGGATACTGCCCAGACGCCCTGGTTGAATCAGGTGGTAGTTCTGAGGGGCCACCCCACCCGAACCTCTGACTTGAAGTCTGATTCGCTTAGCAATGGGCCTGCATTCCGATGGATGGCAGTGACTCAAACAGAGTGATACGCCATTCGATCTTTTCGTATTCTGGAGCCCATGTATACCATAGGTTTGGAATCACGGTTTTTCAATTCCCCTAAGTAAACCAGCATATCAGCTATTTGGATTTCAAGTGCCAAACATTCGTATTTGTCATTTTACTTTTGTGAGGCACCCCTCCCTCGTCGAGTGAAGGCACAGGTCGGTGGGAATTAACTGGTTGGCAGAGATTATGAACGCTTGGCGACATGAGAACATTTCGAGAGGAAGACTGGAGTTTACCCATCACTCTCAGCTGTACCAGGTTGTTAATGGTTAGAGTTTGTATGCAAATCGTTTTTTAAGGATATGAAAGTAATATTGTATTGGTGAGTGGTGACCAGCAGAAAACGTTGGCGGAAAACTGAACGCAATGGAGATGTGTGGCTGAAGCCCAATGTTCCTCTAGGCACTGAAAGAAACCAGCATTAGAATCTAGGATACGCATTTCGTCGATCCAGTCAATGAGAAATACAAAATTAACTTGAATGTGTGATTTGAAAATAAGTTGCAATGTTACACTCTGGTAACTTGAGGATTTTCAGGTCAAATCAACTTTATTTCTCTTTATCAGCGTTAACCATGTTAAACAGCGTTTTTAAAATTAATTAAATATGGTATTAATTATAATATGTTTAACAGTTGCACTTGCCATAAATAAGTATTAAGGGATTAAGCAGTGATGAGTACCGTTTCCTTAGTTGTTACCTATCCTAATTTGATTCTAATACAATTCAATCAACTATTAGTGTTTTTTCATTCCTTTGTGTTCTGAGTGGAACATAGGATTTAACCTTGAGCTCTACTCTGTAGTTTAAGTAGAGATTATGTGGATTTTCATGCTGTGAAGTTGCTGGTCTCACTCCTCACCCTCTGTCTTTACCGTATTTCCCTATAGCTAAGTGAGGTTAGGGTGTTACTGTGTGGTCGGAAGTTGAACCCGGATCACATGTGTGGTTGGCGAGCATCGTACCATTGAGCCACAGACGAACATCACTGGTGCTACGCCTTGTGTATTCCTATACACTTTTTTGTCAAAAGCATTATTGTTTTGCACTCACTGTAGGTCCATACACAACAAGCTGTTATCTTCTGTATATAAGTTAGTTGGAACCATAGCAACAGGGTACGGATTTTAACATGTAAGGTGAGAGTATCGTTAATTCAGTATTCAACTAACTGACTAAGACTATCGAATAGAGGGAGGTGAGAAAAATCCACTGAGAACTAAACTGCTAGGAATCTACTGCAGAATAATCTTATTAAAACTGCTTTGCACCGAACTGATCGATTTTGTTCCCGAGTAATTCTGTTTCAATAGTTGCAATTTACGTGGAACTTGATAAGTAGTCAGGTGGAATATTTAATTTCCGAAATTTGCAACACTACTGACTTTCAAAGGTTGGTCATCATGGAAAAACTTTAAATACAAGTATGATAAATGTTAGGTTTAATGTGTAAGCTGCTTGTCAACTTTTTTAAAATGGTTGGCTTTACTATCTGTCAGTATGACAGACAGGCAGATAAACACAGAGATATAAGCTATGATGCGCAGCAGAGTAACGCACTTGATACTGTAAATCCAATGGGGGAAATTTCCTTATAAACTTTGCCTAATCTTTTCACCGCGTAAAGGTAGTTACGTTGACTGACTTAGTTTCAACACGGAGGTGTAGAAGTTCAAGTTGCTGCATGTAGTAAAAAGCTAGACACAAAAAGTAGACTCAGAAGAAGTGTGATGAGCAGAAATTGACTGAGAAAAGCAGTGATGTAGAAAAATAATAGGAAGATTTAATGGATTTGGAGGATTACAAGAAGTGAATGCATGCACTTCCTTGAGAACGGTTTCGAGTCATATTACGGTGGTGTGATACAGACAATGTGTTCCAACCGAATATTATTCTCACGTATTCCGCCAATTCAATACTACATTAGCAACAGAATACTATGTGTATTTAAACATTCTGTTTCATGTTGTTTAATGTAAACCGAAATCACACCCTCACTGATTGCTTAAGCAGTATGGATGTAAACAGCTGTTTCATCAATTGAAAATATACCTCTGCTTCAGTGTCTTGCCTTCTGTTGTTTCAATATCACCAATAGTCTCCAGCTAATGGTTCTTAGTATCCTGAAGACCCCAGCCACGCAGTGTAGAACTGCCTGCGTGGCTGGCTCAAACCATCATGGATTGATGTCAGGTTTCGGTTAGAATACCCCTATTCCTTTTGCCACCCAACCTTATATCAGCTAATACTGCTCGACGAGCAAAGTGATGGCTTGATATAAGTAACACATATCGTAACTATGTCATTCGATGTAACTTATTAACCCCATCGGTTGACTTCGCATCTTCAGCTAACATTCTACGACTATTCTCAATTTCTCTCACATATTATACTTATTAAACTGGGAGACGGAACACAAACATCTGAAGGCAAAATCAATCAGCCTTTTCATATCTTCCAAAGTTCAATGGCCGTGTCCCACAACCATAAAGGAGAACAGAGTGAAATTCTATCAAGAATTACTTTGAAAGCACATTATTCCTTTCCACATAACACTCCCCAAAATACTTAATCAACCAAATGAAATCGGTTTGTTTACATGAACAAATGGTGCCTATACAAATATCCTATTCATTAAAATACTTGTACATTTTGATTTTTAATATTTAGTAATTTGTATTATAGTAGGGCTTCATCTTTTCCAAGTGTATATACCGAGTATTTCATTCCCCCTTTTTTGTCAGTATTCTCTTTCAACAAGGAAAGTAGTTTTAGGTTGAAGTGCAATCTCAGTTTAGAAGAGAAGTGTTTCATGATTTTCACTGTTAATTCCCACACATTCTTGTAGTAATGTGAATAATCAGCTCATTATTCTAGAAGTATGACTGACCTAAACGTAGATTTTATCAAAAGTCGAATAGCAGTACACTGGAGAGTGGCAAACTTAGACAAAACTGCCTTTTTTATTCTCACTGGCTTTAGTTTCTCCCTAACTGATAGTTGGTTTATGGCAAAATTTACATTGCAATAAATCAGAGTCATTTAACATATTGTGGTATACTTATTCACTTGAAAAGGAGTAGCTTTTTCAATCATTATGACATTTTTTGATTAAATCATATGAAAGGATATTATTTATTCTGGATATCACTTAACAGTTTTTCCCTTCGACAGGTGATCGTTAAATTACGTCTTGTGTTCGTCCATACTCATTAGCCAGGTGTATTTACAAGTCACTGGAAATTTTGTTTTTTCTCTGCATGATCGGAAACTGCATCACTGAATACTGATTTAACGAAATTTTAACACTCAGCTATGGAAGATACACCATTCCTCACCTGAAGAACGGATTGATTGCCGATTGAAAAACCTTTAAAACAAGCAATAAAGGTTAATAAAGCAGGATTTAATGAATTCATGAAATTTTGGTAGACCTCGTCAGCTGAATACTCTACATACACGGATATATATATATATACTTTTGAAATTACACTGGGAGATATAAGACTGATAAGTAAACAAACTACATTGAATTAGTCATGCAAAAAGACAGGTGCGAATGTTTTCCAGGTCATGTTCAAATAGATAAGGGGAGAAAAAGTATGAGAGATCGAAATTAAGATAAATTGCGTTACGCTTCAATTACATCACTTAGATAAACAATTAGTCATTAGGGAATATAACGAGAATTGCAAACAGAGTAATATTAGTAGTAATAGTTATAATAATAGTGTTGAAGTGAGTTTAGATAATCCTACTGATAAAGGATAGTTTTAAATGAATCAGGAATAATAATAATAATAAGAGGTAGAATAATAAGTAAAACGTATTACCATGGTAGATTCAGAGTGACGACCATCTATTTTTGTACACAGAGGCCTGGTTTATATACGCGAATTGCACAAGCCCCTGCAACTGCAAGCATCTTCCTGTGTCTTTGTCTGCTGACAATAACAGTAAATGACTTGACTGCGTCGATATCATGTCTATAGTCCACAAGATGTTTTGTTATCGAGGTTTTTGGCACTTGGCGTGACCGGCCTCAAACAGTTGTCCCCTGGGCTCTGCGGTCACGCAACACTCCTTCTGTTTCGGGTACCCGAAGAATCAATCAACTTCCACGGTGTGGGCAGCCGGGAAGTAACAACCGCCCACACGCTTCCAAAAGCACACGAAGCCTTCCTGAGCATCACTCTTCCATACTCACATCACCTTCCTTATCTTGCTTCTCTACTACAGTTAGCACTATTCTGCAGGCTAGTGAGTCATCTTCACTTTACTCTGTGTCCACAAACAACGGTGAGAGCCATAGAAACACCCCAGATAGCCTTCTAAAGCTACGTCGCCAACTTCATATAGGAGCTTTTAACGTCAGGACCCTCTGCCAAATCGGACAACAGGCATCACTAGCAAGAACTCTGGAATCTAGAGCCATGGATGTATGTTGTATTTCGGAGACACGCATACAAGACCCGAGTGTGGTCATTCACTTAACCTCACCCGGTCACAAAGTGAATCTGGAAAATTCACTTTAAGGATGTCAGGAGACCCCTCAGCTAGCTCGCGAGGACTCGCAGGTGTA